GGCGCCGCTGTCACCACCATCCCTTCCCGGGGGTAACGATGGAGGCTGCGCGGGCTCCGGCTCCGGCTCCTCCCGGCCCCCTTCCCGGGGGTGCTCCGTGCCGTGGGGCTCGCGCCGAGGCRCCCGTGGGGGGCTGAGCTGGGTTTTCCCGCGCGCGCTCAGCTTGCAAATGCGGTGCAAGGGGAAAGGGCTAAGCTAATGAGAGCCTCCAATCTAATTAATAAAATATTGCCAATGCAGACCAGCAATCACGACCTTGGATCTCAAGCACTTGTAGCAACGTTGCTCATACAGTTACATCCCTGATTCCTGGCTTTTGCAGTGCGGCAGCTCCCTTTGGCATGGCGGGTGGGGGGATCGCAGTATCCYGTCCCCATGCCCAGGCACCAGGAAGGGGGCAGCAGCAGCGGCACCTCCTCCGCGCCCCGCACGCAGCCAAGGGCCCCAGGCCCTGCAGCAGCCCCATCTCCAGCCGTGAGTGCCGCCCCGGCCTGTCCACAGGGGCTCAGTGACGTTAAATGGCCCACACGGTGTCCRCAGCAGAGGTTAGGGCCGACTATAGACCTCTGCACTCGCAGGTCTCACCTTCACACTGCAATCTGTCCCTTCCTGCCCTCTAGGAGCCTTAACCTTACTCGCCCTTCCAGGCTTGCAATGAGCGACTCCTCTAGAGGCGACGGCTGCTCAGGGCCGTGCCAGGAGCTCCTGCTCCGTCCGACSCCGGGCTGGCAGCACGCGGCTGGAGCTCCCGCTGACGCTGCCTCCACTGGCCCCGTGGCAGGTTTCCCCGGCACACAGCGGTGCCGGATGGAGGAGCTGCCGCTGCTGCGGAGGCCTTGGCAATACGTTCATCTCACCAAGGCTCCCCCGGCCTCCAGCCCTGCTCGAAGAAGCTGAGCAGCTGTCATCGTTCACTGGAGCCGAGGGCGAGCGTGGGATGGAAGGGGCGCTGAGGCGGGAGCCGGCCCCGCTGCGCTTCRGCTGCAGGAATCCCCGCAGGTGTCCGGCACGGAGCAGCACCCRCAGCCGCTGCAGGCTGCGTCGCTCCCCGCTCCGCATCCCTGCTGCTCCCCACCCGCACGAGGACTCGCGCCCCGACTCGCGCGGAGCCTTGTCCTGCCGAGCGAGCGGCTCCGGGAATCCCTCGGGATCCGCAGGGGCCTTTCTGGCCTCGCTCGCTTCCACGCTGCTCTTCTAGCGGCACCGGCGGCAGCGGAGCCGCAGATACCCGCGCTGCTGCCGGCGTGGAGCGCGAGCCCCTCCGCACCCCGTGCAGGCGCYGGAGGGAAACAACTCGTGTGTGTGCAAGAAAAGGTGCATTTAAACATAATGCTTCAAGAAAAAATAATAGATTGTGAGCTAAATGAACTTGGATTGACTCTTAGATACMTCTCCGTGCCTGCAGAAAAGCGGAACGGCTGCAGGCAGCCCTCAGTCCCTGCAAAAATCAAACGTTTCTGCAGCTCTGCCTAGTTCTTGTTTCCTAAAACAATATAGTTTTTAATGTGCGAGAAACTATTTTTAATGAGATACAAACTACTATTTGTTTTCTGTTTCTGCTTGTTTTTCCTTCAGCTTATTTTTCAAACCAAAAAGTAAACACAAGGTTATGAAATCTCCAATTTCACATCAAAGGAGACTTGATTTATATATAGGTTCAAAGGAAGACTTTAAAGGAGAAGCATCATGACCAACTTGTTGGCCTTATGCTATTAGAATAATTTCAGAATCCACAAAGTAACTGTTGATAAATAAATAGCGCGTTGCCATAAATCAGCGTGCGGCCGTGCATGAAAGCAGAGCCGTCTATCTGATGGGGCCGGGAGGATTTATATTATATTTGTGTACCTTTTACCAGGGAAGTTTCAGTATTGCACCTGGGAGCGGCAGAAACTTCCTTGGTGGGAGGTATTTGGGCAGCCCTAAGCGCGCTCTGAAACGCAAGGGGAGCTGCGAGCACGGCTGCCCCGACGCTCCCGGTTTGGTAAGAGAAACGTGGAAAGCTGGAATATGCAAATTGCAGTAAAAAGCCAGAAAAAAAAGCGCCCATTTTGCAATGCAGCCGCGGGGAAGGCCAGGCTGTGGCAGGCAGTCCCGCGCGGCCCTGGCGCCTCCGTCGGGCACCGCCGGCACACACGGACGCTCCGGAGGAAGCGGCGAGCATTGATCGGGGGTTAAAATTTCCGCCTTGTTGTTTATGTCCCCRGGGGAAAGGGCGGCAGCGCGATGACACAACCGGCAGCTGGACGAGTTTCAGCTTCCTCTGCAAGTCTGGTCCAGGTCGGGCTTCCTCACAGAAACCCTGCTCGGACGTAAGGGGCGGCCGCGGCGCGCGTGGGCCCCGCGGTGCATCCCGGCCGGCGCATCCCGGCCAGTGCATCCCAGCCGGCGCCCGGAAAGGTGGCCGAGTGGGAAACACCTGCGGCCTGGCCTGCAGCAGCAGCGCAATTAACAACGCCACCTCGTTAAATGCGCCAAGCGGCAATTTAAATTTAATTTAAATTTGCATCAGGCTCCGCAGTCATCGCTTAGGCAAATCCAGCAGGGGTTTTACCCGAGTCGGAAAACAGGCTTTGGAAAATTCAAACAACTCCGTGCCCTGAAATGACTCCTCGCAGACGGTCAGGAGGGAAACTCCGGCAGCTCCTGCCTGGCACAGCGGGTTTCCTCCCGGAGCGCAGGGTACAGAGCTGCTCTCCCCACTGCAAAACCCGGGGGCTGCTCGTGCCGAGTGACCGTGACCCCAGCACCGAGCCCCAGGAACACACTGATTAAGGCACACGCGTTTCCCGGAGAAACCTGCCACGCAGACAGGCAGGCAGCTCTCCGGCCGGTCATTTCCTGCCCTTAAACCCTCCTGCCCTTCCAGCGCGGCGCCTTTCAGCAGCACGTCCTGGTCTGCAAGCCCAGGTTGGCACGGGGCTGCCTGGGAATCACATCCTGCCTTTTCCAGGATGAGCCAAGAGGCGCCCGCGCGGTGCCAAGCGCAGCCTCTGCTCCRGGCTCCCTGCATCCTCGTGGCGCTCCCACCTGCCTCCCGCTGTGATTCACTTGGAAGCTGCCCCCGAGCCGTGTTTGTCGAGGCCGCACCCCGCGGCTCCCACGCACGAGTCCGAGAACACAGCCTTCGCTCTGCGGGCGCCCCCATCGCCTCCGAGGGCCCCTGCGCAGGCGCCCACCCGCCTGGGGCCGCCCGCCCGCCCGCCACGACGGCGTGCCCAGGAGCGGCTCCCGGGAAGCTCCGCAGCTCCTGCGGAAGCTCYGGGAAGCTCCCGCGAGCCCGCTCTGAGCCACAGCTGGAGCACTGGAGGCGCTTACAGCAACCTCGACACGGGCAACACGGAGCAAGCCCCTCGGGGACCCAGCTTGCCAGAGCTCCAAGCGTTTGCCCACTCTGTGGTGGGGAATCCTGCCGGGCACATGGCCACATGATTCATTGCGGTTCCGGCTCGGGAAGCACCGGCCCTGGATGGGCGGCAGGGCCTGGCTGCCTGCGGGGCCCCTCGGGCCCCCAGCCGCGTGCGGCTCCAGGCTGGCTGCTTTGGAGCGGAAGCTCCGGCAAAACATCCCGTGCGCGGCGCGGAGCGGCCGGCACGCAGCGCGCTGGCACGCGGCCCCGCCGCCGTTTACATCTGCGGCCGCCAGCTCATCCGGCGCCGCGTCCCGCGGCCGCACGCCCTGACCACGACGGCAGCCGTGGCCGCCGCTCCGAGCGGCGACATGGGGAGAGCCCGGCCGGGAAGCGCGGCCGGGTGGCAGCACCCGAGTGACGCTTATCCTGCCAGGTGCCGCCAGGCTGGCACTGCCGCTGCTCTGCYGTCCGCTCCAGTGCTGCCACGGGCTCGGAGCGAGGACGTTCCTGTGGAGCACAGAGCAGCCGGGCTGCACAAAGCGCTGGTCACGCGGGCGGCAGGGCAGCGACGAGGCGCTGCTCGCGGCGCAGACACGGCCGCTGCGGGGGGTCCGCACCGCGCGCTGCACGTCACGGGGGCAGCTGCCGGGAAACAAAACCTCTTCTCTACTCTGATTCCTAGGATATTAAGGCCCCATAAAGTCTCCAAGGTGCCAAAAGCAATATTCCAGCAGGGAAAACGCTCACCCTTCTTTAGGGAGTGGCTGGAGCCTGTGAGAGCTGTGCTGGGTGCAGGGCTGAGCGGGTCGGGGCTTGGGGGCTGCGGGCAGCTCCTGGTGCCACCAACCGTGTTAGGATTATTGCTCGCTTCCAGGCRTGCCTCGGAAAGCCCACGTGCACGTGCGCGCACGGCCCCCTCCTGAAAAGCAGGGGCRCGGGGCCGGGCCGAGCGCGGCGCTTCCCCGCGGGCGCCGCAGTTCTGGGAAGCGCCGCCGGCCGCCCGCTCCGCCTGCTGTTGTTGCAACGCTGGATTTTCTAAACTACGTCTGTCAGGAAGGAGACAGGAAATTCGAGTCACACTTGCAACAGCTGTGCCATGCCTACTATCAGGCTCCAGTGACGTAGGTTGGCCGCAGCGGCGCGGGGCCAGCGGCTCCGCGAGAGCAGGGGTCAGGAGATAGGTCGCTGTTTATTCGGCTCCTGCGCGCGGGGCCCTGCTGAGCCTATTTGCTTTCTTCCTATCTCTCCCGTTTCTCCTTCCGCTGCTCCGCGCGGCGCGGAGCCCCAGCATCCTGTTTTGCAAACAGGCGGCCGCCCGGGCGCTCGCCGGCGGTGGCGCCGCGTGCCGGGGCCGCCCGCTGCCTCGGGGCCGTCGGGGTGCAAAGTGTGACAGAGCAGCGAGCGCGCGGAGCGCGGCCGGGTGTGCTGCCCGCCCAGCCGCTCGCCCCGCCGCGGGGCTCTCTCRGGACGCGAGCCCCAACTCCTCCGTGGCCGTGTTTGCCGCGGAGAAGCATCGTGGGGCGTCGCGGCAGCTGGTGCTRCTCCCCTGGGGATGGAGGAGCTCCCTGGAAGCCACCCCAAGCTGCCAGCACTGCAGGAAGGGGGCTGAGGAGCGGCGCCGCGCGGGACTGTGAGGTGCGGGAGCTCTCCCTGCCAGGAGGCTGCGGAGCCCCGCGTGCGGCCACGGTGTGGTGCCACAGATRGGTCCCCAAAGTGGGGCCGCTCCTGCCCGCATTTCAGCGCTGCTCACCCTGCAGGCTCAGCCTGCTGCACTCAGAAACTGCAGTGGTCCCCCCTTGGAAGCGCCGTCTATAAAACTTTTATTGCTTCCTCTGCCCTGGCCCGCCGTGGCCATCGCCAACAGGGAGGGAAGTGGAGCCGACASGGGACTTGTTTGCTTAACTTATTCCACAGGCTCATTCACGAGGTGGCATTTCTGCCCGCAGCAACTTCCAGCTGGGAGAGCCTGGCGGCCCCGCAGCTCCACAGGACCGGGCAGCGGGAACCCTAAGGGGCAGCAGGGACCCCAAAGAGCGGCAGGGAGCCCGAAGTGCAGCTGGGACCCCAAAGAGCAGGGGGGACTGGGGCCACTGCTCCCCCTTCGCCACCCTCGTGCGCTCCAGGGTCCCCTCTGGCCGTCCCCTGTCCCCCTCCCACTGCACGCCAGGGTGCGCAGGGCCGGGCGCCCCTCTCGGGGCCGCGGGAGCCCCGTCGGGGAMGGGCCGCAGGGGCAGGTCACACTGCTCGTTCCCGGGGGCAGGGGTCCGGCCGCCGCGGCGCTCACCTTGTTGGAGGCCATCTCGCTGACGGAGCGGTACGTCTGGATGGTCTCCAGCTGGTCCAGGCACCAGTCGAGCTCCTCCAGCGTCTCCATGGCCAGCTTCTGGTAGGGCTCCTCTGCCAAGAGGCGCGCGGACATGCGGCCCCGCTGCGGCGCC